GTATGCTGATCATTGTTGCCAGAGGCTGATTTACTGAAGACGTTGAAAATCATCAGGCAATAAATGATGTGAACAAGCACTTTAATTATCTAATTATGTGGAATGCCAATTTCTCTTTCCTTTTTTTCATCTGCACATGATTGGACAAATATTCCTACAACTTAAAGGCTTAGTCCCAGTTGAAGACCATGTAAAATCTTACATTCAAATTTAGGGTAAATCATGAAAAATGGGCACATTCCTTAACACCACGCCCACAAACCCCCTGCCCCCTCCTTACCTTAGTTGTGGGGTGCTTCTCCCTGGAGTATCTTGCTTTTGATTAAATTTGAAGCAGTTGTGCATGACTCCGCCCATACAGCTGCATCAGCAATTCGCAGTGGGCTACTAGCCCATAACAGAAGGTCCATACTCCCCTACGGATCTGGGACTGGGGCTGAACAACACAGGAGCTTGTGAAATGCACCTACAATGCATTAATCATGGTTGCAATGCTCTGCAGGCTGGAATTCAAATATGTAATAATTGCAGTTTTTTCCATCTGTGTCCTATATTGGATTTCTCTTTACTCCCTGTCCTGCAGGTATAGGCAGAACCTGAGGGAATTGCCCTTTCAAAATGTTGTCACCAAAAAAGAACAAATGCGAAAGATTTCCAGAACAAATGTTCCCTTTATAAATCCTTTTGAACAAGTGTCCCCATTGGAAGATTTCTATTCTATTCCCCCCTCCCGAACCCCACCACCACACTATACAAAGCTAAAATGTCTATTAACTCTGTTGTAAGATATGGCAAGCTTTAAAAAAAAATGCATGTTAAAAGAAGAAAAATAATAAAACCAGCTAATGCTGCAATTTCCACCTTCAGTCCAGAGATTTCCCCTGCAGTACTTTATGCTGCTGCTAGATGTCCTCAGTCTAACAGCGTCCTCTGAGTCCAAGCCGCCCTGGACCCGCCCCCAACCTCTGACTGTGCTTGTGATTTGTCAAAAAACAAGAGCAGTATCATGTAGGCCTCATTCCACCATACTTGCATAAAAACTGATGGAAACAGATGCACAGATGTCACTTGCAGAGACATCAGTTTTCATACGCGCTTCAATTAGTTTTTTTTACAAGTTACAGATTCCTGCGCAGAAAAAATCTGCAGGTGAAACTAATGCTGTTGTGTGATCAGGGCACATAGAGAACAATTGCTTTGTTATGCCCTTGCAGATTGTGTGCAGAAAAACTGACATCTCTGCACTGTGAACGAGCCCTTAAACTGGGTATACAAAAGTTAGCCAGTTCAGCAGGAAGCGTCAGCTTTTGGTATGTGTGTACTCTCCCCTCTATTCAACAGAAGCTGGCTTCTGTCCAATGGTCCTGCTGGAAAACCAGCATTCAATCAGAGCTTGCAGCCAATGGCTAAAGTCCAGCTTCTGTCCAATGGTCCTGCTGGAAAACCAGCATTCAATCAGCGCTTGCAGCCAATGGCTAAAGTGCTGCTCTGGGTATTCTAATGGCAGAGTCTTTGTCAGAATACAACAGTGCAGCAGGGGAGATCCCATATCCAAATGTTTTCCTCTGCAGCTAAGGCAAAGAGATCTCACATCGATGCCTAGCAATTGAAATTCAGCAAAGTTCAGGCCATCAACAGAGTGACTTTACGCTGCATCTAGCTACAGAGGGAGCCATTCCATAGGGCCAGGTAGGTGGCCTCTTGCACGATCCTGCCACTGGTGGTCCAAATCACCAATGCCTGGATCACTAGCAGCAGAGTTGCCTGTATGACATAATCCGATGGGTTTTTATTCTTAAACAGCAATGAAAAAATAGACTATGTAACTAAAAGCGCACCTAACACCCAATTTTTTTTTTTTTTTTTAGTATGTCTCTAGTGGTAGAATCACCCATCCAAAATCAGCTTTAAAGTGTTACTAAACCCAGGACACTGCATTCACTATATCTGGTCTCCCACAGTACACAGAACATGGAAATGCAATTATTTTAGTAAATATAAACTAATAAATACCATTTCCCATCAGTATATAGCTGTCTTGTGACTTCTATCAGTGTCTGGCAGAGCACTGGTTAAAGCTTGTAGGGGGAGTTTTCATTCTCATCTGACTGTCCTATGAGGCTGTATGACCCTTGACCCTCTGTCTGAACAATGGTGTTTGGCCCTGTGCTGATCACGTGCACCCTCACAAAAAAAGTCTCTAGCAATACACACCAAACTGAGCATGTGCAGAGTACCTCCTAGGGCTCTGTACTATCAGTAGATGGATTGGGGAACAGTAAAGGAAGGGGAGTATCAGAGAAGACAGGATCAAACAGCCTTTTTACACAATGCAGATGATTAACCCCTTAGGTTCCACAGTGAGTATAACAAGCATGCTTTACTGCATATACAGACTGATTTTACTTTTGTGGGTTTAGTAACACTTTAAGGAATAACCATCAGTATTTAATGCTAAACAGATCTTTCTAGAAATTAATGGGAACATAAATAAAAAAAAATTATATTTTTATTTTTGACTTACAGTTTTAAGGCATTTTTCTCGAAAAAAAAACAAAAAACTCTGTACCACTGTGCATCAAAACTGAACAATAATAATAAAAAAAACACAATAGTACTTATATACACAGCTCTAAAATGAGCTTTTATCTGTACAAGAGGGAGAGTAGGCTTCAGTCTGGCTGTATTGATGATCTGAAAAGTCCAGTCCGTAAAGCAAGTCCAGGCCAAAAAGTTCCCATAAGTCCTATCCCCGGCACTGCATGCCAAGAGCTGGAGTTGGGGCAGGAAAGGTGAAGGGGCGGGGCTCTTGTGTCCGACTCAAGTGGGTGGCTGGGCTCTATTTCCGGCTCTAGTAGTCTTGCCTTGGGCTGTGTGTCAGACTGTGCCTTCGCAGGTCGCAGTTTCGCCTGAATACTTTGCCGCACTGCTCACAATTGTAGGGCTTGATGTCTGTATGGGTAAGAAGGTGAGTTTTCAGATTACTTCTCTGATTAAATGTCCTTCCACATGTGGGGCATTTGTGGGGTGATTCCTGTTCAGATTTGAAGCAAGCAAAGGATTAATCCTTTACACGTCTCTCCTTTTCCATTTTTTATTTGTTTTAATTAATTAAAATGTAATTAATTTCAGTGATGTTTTAGGAAAATAAGGATTAGGGGCTAAAATAAAGTAGATGCCATGGGGGAGATTTACTAAAACTGGTGCACTCAGAATCTGGTGCAGCTGTGCATAGTAGCCAATCAGCTTGTCCAGTTAAGCTTTGGCAATACAACCTGCAAGCTGATTGGTTACTATACAGAGCTGCATCAGATTTTGGACTCTCCAGTTTTAGTAAATAACCTCCCATGTTACCCTTTAAATATCAATATATCATGAAATCAAGTATTTCATGTGGCATGTCTAAGGGACTACTGGATGGGCCAGATAGTAAAAATAAATAAATAACTTTTCCCAAAGAAGTCTGAGATACCATCTGGTAAATAAATACAGTGGATATAATTCCATATTAAAATTACCATTTTAATTTATGGAGATAAGGGCATATTTTTTGCAGTAGCAAGGATATTCTATCTGAAGACATTTAGGGTAAGGTACATGTTGATGTAAATATATCTGGGTTTGATAATATTGTTACTGTACAGTTTAAAGGAAATAAAAACAAACACTTCATTTATTTTTGGTTAATTACTTAACTTTCCCAGCCCATCTTTAATTCTCAGTTGCTTACAGATAGGCAGGAACAGCTTTGAGTTTAGGGAAATAAAAGAGACATTTTTTATATATAATTATAAAATTATAATTGCATTTTATTATTTTTTATATATATATATATATATATATATATATATATATATATAAAAAAAATTATTATTGACATTTTTATTATTTTGGTAAAAATAAAGTACTATAGCCATAGCAGCCAATTAGGAAAGCATACCCCCTTGACTGATTGCTGTAGGTGTACTGTCAGTGAGCCCTTTTGAAGTGTTATTGAACCCTAATGTTGAAAAGAAACAACAACCAAAACATAGATATCAACACTCACATCTAAGCTTGTTTTTGACCCATGTAGATGTCAGCGAATTCAGCTCACAATTTTAAATGATTTTCCTTTAACTATGGGCAAAACTATTTTTATTTTATTTTGGATAGAGTAAGGGAGGGTATAACCCCTGCCAGCTTTTTAACTTGCCATCTGTATCTCATCGTGGCGATTTCCCTTGACACCCTGTCCATTAGCCAAAACAGGAAGTGAAAGGAAATCCCTGCAAACTAAGGGAATTCCCCCCCCCCCCCCCCAGGTCACAAGAATGAGTGTCCCCACTGGAGGATTTCCCCTCTATTACCTTTCTGGGACAGGCCAAAATTTGTGATTTTATTTTAATTTCAATGATAATGGTAATCAGCACAAACAGACAGGGTGAATCTCTCTAATGGGAACAGATTTAGTAATAAAAACCTAACAGGTGTTCTAGTCCCCTCCACTTTGTCCAAAACTAAAAAAAAAAAAAGTTTTGTCTTTAGTTATACTTTAACAGTCTTTCCTTTGTAATATTGGCTCCTACTACTAGTGCAGGCTCAGTGGAGCTACCACTGTGAACACACTTCTTCCCCCTACCCCCCTTCCCCAATGTCTACATTACAACCAGCTGCTCTGTGTACCAACACAGCAGGCAGCACAGAGAGGCTGGAACTGAATAGGACCTGTGATCCGCCCACCTCCCTTCCCACCTACTATGAATGACTGGTCCCTATCACACATGCGCATTGCCAATGCATGCACAAGTGTTAATAGGAGATGTAGCCCTATCATCAAGCATGAAAGAGAGAGAGGGTGTATGCTCACCAACTGGAAATTAGGGGGAAGGGCTGTGCCATTTAATAGTGTGTTATTAAGAAAACTAATTTATAAATGAGCTACATAAAAAAACATAGTATGAATAACAATATTAAATGCATATAAATAGAGAACGTGCTTTTAGAGCAAGGATTTCATACTACTTTAAGGTCCTGTAACGGGCCATTCTCACCTGCATGTGTAAGGTTTTATGTACTGCCAGAGTCCTTGATTGACAGAATCCCTTCCCACATTCTTGACACTTGAAGGGTTTTTCTTTGGAATGGATATATCTGAAGGGGGGAGGGGAATAAAAGAAATCAGTAATTAAAAACTAAGCGTAAACAATGCGGATGAGAGCCACATCAATGGAGTGCATTAACCTTAGATAGCCCAGTGTGTCATTATGATAGCACTGAGCAGAATGGGCCACTTGAAAACAGATTGGTGATTCTGATCAATGACTGATTGCACTCTCTGTGCAGCAGGCAAACAGTATACATTGTGCCGCTATCTGTCACAAGAACAGCAACCTTTGCAAGGCCTTATCTCCAGAGCTCCTGTAAATACATTGTCTGGGAGCTTGCTGAAACAATTTCACTTCAGAAGCTATAAAACCTGGGCCCTGTGCATAAATCAGACTATAACACTGGATATGTATTTACATAGGAAAGATTTATCGCACGTACGAACGCACAAGCATTAAACTCCGCCCATCTGAACCATATCATAATTCAAAGTAGGGGAAGTACAATGATTGACACAAGAGGAACAATAATCAGTGCTGTAGGCTGGGAGTGCAGCAAGACCAATGGTCCAAAAGTCATCCTTGGTTATTTCTAAGAAGACCTGTCACTGGGTGATTTATAAAAACTGAAGCAAATATGGAGCGGTTGCCTATAGACAAAAATCAAGTTTCCTTTTAAAGTCTCAAAACCTGCACTCATGGGCCAAGAAGGCTACACATACTCCATACGTTGAATGAGTAGGTGGTCGGCACCCAGAATTTTGCCAAGAAGGCTACACATACCGTATATGTTATGAGTAGGTGTATTGGTGCAGGGCACGACACTAGCAAACACGACACAGGCATGAATTAAGTGTTGCACTGCACTTGTACAGATTTATGTTTCATAAAAATTGTTTGTTACATTCATTTATTAATTTTACAGGAATATTTTTGATTTACTTAGGACAAATATACTGTTCACCTTCACAGGGTAAGTTTTACTTTGCAAGGAAAAAAAAAAAAAAAAACATGTTGCTTGCACATGATTGGATGATGGACACCTACAGAGCTTTGCCTCATTCACTGAAGATATGCTGGTAGGTTAATTGGCTCCGGTTTAAATTGGCCCTAGTATATGTATGTATGAATGTAAGTTAGGGACCTTAGATTGTACACCTCTTGAGGGTTAGGGACTGATGTGAATGTACAATATATATATGTAAAGCAATGCATAAATTGCCGGCGCTATATAAGTACCTGTAATAAATAAAAAATAAATTTACTGAGCATTGGGGAACATTTCCTTGCAAAGTGCATCTTCCCTTAAAAAGTGAACAGTCTATTTGCCTTTAGCAAATCATCCCCATGGCATATATTTGATAGGGGCAACAACCAGCTTTTACTCCATTTTTCATAAATCATCATTTAAAACACGTTACAGCCTGTGTTAGAAGAGATGCCAGCTCTGGGTGGCACTGATAGCTGAGGTCCACTTGGTCACCAATAACATGGAAATAAATGGACTGGCCTCAGAAAAACAGAACTGCAGAGTAAGGCACAACCCTGCAATATCAGAAAAAAAATGGAGGTGTATCCTTAGTCTCAATGTGCCAGGTCATGTTTTCTGGGACTTGTGTTCCCATAAAAATTATACAGTTATAGGCTTGTACAAGCAAGTCCAATGATCTCTGAAGGTGGATAAAATTTACCAGTGATCAATCATACTATTTAATAAGGCAGTGCAAAAAAACCCCAGAAATAATGTACTAAGTGCTGTTACATATCAGAATTTACTCAAATCATTTCTGTGTAACATACATATTGATTTGCTGCATTTTTATATTTACTGTAGTTAATTGACCAGTGATTGTCTAGCTTTTGCATCTTTCATTAATACTTTTTAACATGAAAAAAGTATTTCTCTCATGACCACATCCACCGATTCCCTACCAACAAATATAATAATTTAGAATATACTGGGACTGGTTTACTAAAGGAGTTGAGAATCTTCACCCAACACTGAATATTCACTTCAATCATGTGAAAATTCCTCTTTACTTAATTCATCTGCATGTGACTGGATATTTGATGTGAATAGTCATGCAATTAATAGGGTGAAGATTTTTTACTTGTTTAGTAAATCGTCCCAAGTATTTTTCATAAATGGTAAAACATCACCGGTCTGCAACCAGTTACAAATGAGCCTGGGTCCATCATGCTTAGAGGCCTAAAGATAATGAGGATTTTTTATATACCATCCCCACAGCATTTATTTCTGCACATTGCCATTATTATATCCCCTAGTGGGCCTACTAGGCCTTCTTACAATATAACTGGACTCCAAAAATTTCTGTAAGAAATGAGGGGGTTGTGGGTATTGTTCATATCTTGTACCAGGTCCTGTGACCTATTAATACACATTTGGAAATAAGCTTTAATGCTATCCAACTGTACACTCTGATGTTTACATTTTTGTAATTTTTGCTGTATTATTATATAGTCTATTATATTGGAAATCCATGTATCTACTACAGAACACTGGCATTATGGTATAATGTAAAGATCTTACCTGTGGTCTCTCAGGTGGTCCTGTCTCCTGAAGGCTTTGTGGCATATATCACATGTGTAAGGCCTTTCATCTGTATGGGTCCTCTCATGGATGAGCAAGTTGTAGGACTTAGTGAAGTGTCTTCCACAAAACTTGCAGATAAACTCTTTTTTGGTTTTGGATGGTAGCCTCCCTCTGGAAGGTTTCCTGTCTGGGGACAATTTGCTGATCTCCGATATGGGGCTACCAAGCCCTGGGCTGAGCTTAGCCAGGTCACCTATCTTTGGTGGGTCCTCCTGGGTTGCAGCAATGGCCAAATTGGCAAAGTCAAACCTGGGCCTGTCCTTGTGCATGGCTGGGATGACATGAGCAATGGTTCCTTGTTTGGGGTGAAAGAGATGAGTAGCAAAGGGTAAGGCAGGGAAAGAAAATCTGGCGTCCATAAGGCCTTGAGCAGCTGCCATCTCAGTGATGGTGGACCTGGTGATACCGTGCAAATTGGGGTAGCCCAAAGTCCAATGATTCATGTGCATTGTCTGTACAGCACTGAGTCCATAGAGTCCTTGCAGATGGTCCACAGCTGCTGGAAAGGTGTTGACGGCCTGCAGAAATGAGTAGTTTGTCAGTTGCAAGGAAGGATGCAATGGTATGGGGGCTGGAAGGGCTTTGCTACCCATATTGCCAGACTTCTCAAATCACACTAGCCAGCACTCTGCTCTTGGCACTGGATCCGCTCCAGTATAACGATAGGCCAACCACGTTCAACTCCTGTAGGCAAGAGAAGAAAACAGGAGAGAAAAGTGCATTTATTCTCAATGTGCATTTCATTTCCTTATGTATTTTTAAGAGTCAAAGCAAAGTGATTCAAGACATGGGAAGAATTCATTTGGCCACAGTAACAGTGAGCACTGATCTTCGGAACAATGTTTTCCAAAGGACTTCACCTCTCCTAATTAGAACCAAAAGGACTAAGCAGCCTCTGCTATTTGGGCTCACAGCACGAGAGTGAAGAGCTTTGAGAAACTGTGCCAGGCACCAATGAGATTATTTGTAAGGGGAAGTCTATAAAACCAGAAACTGCTCTCTACATAAAGCTCAGTCAGCCACTAGTGCTCCAGCTGTTGTGGCACTACATGTATCATCATGGCCATGCATACTGACAGTTGTAGTACCACCACACCAACTGTTACCAATGTAATACCTCTGCATTGAACTGTGATCACTGGTAATGAGATGTGATGTGAAAAAGAGTGGGCCAAAAAGTCATAGAAAAAAACAAGTGATGAAGATGTATACAAGTTGCCATCACTAACATGTCTAAATATGCTAGATGCCTGGCTGTCATGCTGATCCAGTGTCTTCAGCACTTTCTAAGTCACTGTAGTTAATTTAATAAAGAAACAGAGACTGCAAAAGTGTCAAACTTGCAAAGTGAGTCTTAGTAAATCAGACGAACCAGCTGTCAATTTGAATATCTAATCATGCGCAAGGTAAATTAAAAAAAAATACTATTGCTAACACAATATTGGTTGATTGAAGTGAACACAGCTTCATCGTATTTACTAACATTTACTTCACTAAGTGAACAGTCTCTCACTTCTGAGAGCAATGCAGCTCTGGATTACTGACTCTCCTCCCTTTGGCTGCTGTATGCTTGTTCTGTGTGAGTAGTAGGCATTAAAGCCAGAGATAGACAGGCAACTAGCAGAAGCAGCTCAGCAACAACAGACATCACTTTTCTTTCTGTACAGATTTCCTGTACGATCTGTTTGTACAAATAGAATCAAATTTGCATTCACCAAGTTCTGTTTTTCTGTGCAGCCAAAACAGCCAGATCTTGATGAGTGTTTAAATGTAGAGAAGTGGAATTTTATGATAGTTCAAAGGGCAACAAGTGATGTTGTAATTACCAACAACCAATCAAATATCATCTGTCAACAGGAAATGAAAGGAAAGCAAAGGTGATTTTTAATTGGTTGCTATTGTGTATTGTGCTTTATTGTTATGTATTAATATGCAGAGAAAGTAATCAATAACAACCAGTCTACCGCCATCTTTCTTTGCCCGGGCTCTTATGAAGGTTAGAATTGGTTTGCTGTGAGTTATGGTGCTTTGCATAGCATTGCTTTTCTTTGCATTAGTTGGTAAACCTTTGATTAACTACTACAAAGATCAGAGACACGTCTTAATCTGCAGCAATCAATCTAGTATCAGCTCATTATAGTCAAACCCATTAAAGTATATTTAAACTAAAAAAAACATACCGTATGTGTAATATATTTCACATTATCAGTCCTTACATGTGATAGATGTATTAGTTTTCTTTTCTCAGGCTAAGTACATTTTCTGCAAGTACAGAATTTGTCAGAAATGCAATGTCCTTATCACTTTGTTTAGACCCAACTGAAATCCCAAACAATGTTAGTAGCTTCATCAGCTATATCCTATGAGTTACAAAGCAACACCCCTCTATGTAACCACAATGAAAAGGGGGAGGTGTTGTAATCCAAATCGGGAGAGCAGCAAAGGGTGACAACATTGCTTCCCCATATACAGTGCATGTTGTCACCCTAGTACAGGAAGTGTGTTACTGGTAGAATCACCAGGTATAAATAAAAGGGAAAAACTTAAAAAAATGAAAACTAATGCAGCCACCACATAAAAGGATAGTTGAGCTTTAAAAAACTACATTTTGGGGTCTGAATACACCTTAAACCCTCTCTTTGACCTGATTCTAAGAATAAGACTAACCACAGACAGAACTGAGATTGTACACTTCTAATAGGCTCTAGCTGACTGCATGAAGATCGTCAGATAGGCCCTATATGAAAACTGTACATCAAAAAACATTGTACAATCACATTGTAAAGTGTTTGGCTGGGTAAGGGGACACTGCTACAACTTATAACTGATTTCTCTAAACTGGTTTCATAAACTGGAAAATAATTGAAAAATATGTATGGGAAATATGCTAAATATTATTGAAACAATGCCTCCAGAGGAAGGAAATCTTGAACAGCATTTCATCATTTAATGATCTTAAGATGTGAAAAGTCTGTTCAATAGATATCGGATGTAAAATTCCAGTTTAACAGAGCAGAGATTCTGGCAATGTTTATTAAAGGAAGATAGACCATATGAGTCTTGTTTCTAAGACAAATGAATGCTTGATACAAAATAATTCCCTTCTCTATATCATTGTGCTATGTCTGCAGGTAGCCTTAAACTTAGCTAATACCTGCTCCAATAAGACCTGTGATCTCAGCTTGCAAATATCCACATTTGCAGTCTATTATATTATATAAAAAAATAAGTTAGCCTTATCTTTTGTCTCAGGAACTGTGAGTAGCTTGTACCCTTCAACCAAGCCCTCATTCCCAGTATTTCAGAGCTTCTTGGTTCCTTTTGATTGTCACCTGTGTGGTTATTCTGTAAAGAAATGGTAAGTCTGGAAACTGCGATAGTTTGCTGACTCTGTTGATATATTTGTGAAGCTCATCAGAAAAGATAAGCTTTGTAATGACCCTGGTAATGTAAGTATTTGTTCTCTAATATGTAATATATTTAAACTATGGTATGGTGATTGATGGCTTTATTAATATACAATACAGTTGCAGAGAACTCATATACTTGGGGGGAAGGAAAGCCATATACTATTCCTCTAAAGGAGCCTAGGATGTTCTCTTAGCAAAGCAAAGCTCTGAATTTTTTTCAAGTCCCCTTGCACCTCGATGGGCATTCAAAATGAACACAGCTTTAGTTTGCTAAGTGAACATTCTTTACACCTTTAGTAAATTAACCCCATTGAAAACAGTGATGATCAATGGCTGGACATTCTCACAAAACAAGGGTTAAAATCTACACAAGCAGAGGGGAAGGAGGAGGGGGACTCAAGACCATCTATTTGTCTTTTTCCACCAAAAACTCATTCATCAAGGCAATCTAGGAAGATAGAAGACACACTTTTCCTCCAGAATTACAGGTTCTAAACAAACCCACTTTACAGCCAGATCTCTTCCAGATGGTCTTTGGAGAAGCCACACAGGAGGCCCAACCACTGGATCATCTGCCCCCTTGTCACCTCCAAGGGACCCTGACCTCAGCTCCTCACAACAAGGAGGCCTTATCAACCTCTTGCCATTTGTGCTATTACAATACAAGGCACAGATAAGTGCAGTTCCTAGCATGCCCTGACAATCTGAGGCTAATTTACTTAAGAGGATGAGCATGTTCAAAAAAAAGTGAAAATTCTCTTTAACAATCATACCATGTGATAGGCAAATTCCTGCTTATTTCATCTACACATAACTAGATAATTGAAAGATATCTTCATTTTTCTAAAGTGAACATTCTCAACTCCTTTAGTAAAGTTGCTTCAATGTCTCTGGGCACTGTATTGTAGCATTGCTTCATATAAGTTTGGACCTTGTAAAGCTGAAGACCCACCAAATGTTGTTCCAGCCTCATGTAAAGCCTGGAAGATGTAGCCTACAATATCTAAAGACTTTTACTCCTTATACATCCAGGTCCAATCTTTTTTTAAATCCACTTTTTTGCAAAAGCAATCAACAATTGATGGCAACAGATAGGATATATTGGAGTGTAGTACATAGTAGCCATTAACTGTTATTAGCAGCACAATGCTCCATATTGTGAGTGAGTGTGTATGTGTAGTGATTGCTGGCGATTCATGATGGGCAATCTCTGGAGATTTTAGCAGTGCCATCACACCAGCAAAAATTGCCCATGTGTGCCCAGTCCAAAGGAAAAGGTTCACTTAACAAGGTGAACGTTTGCCTACATTATTAAATTCAGTGAGGTAATATTCACCCTAAATACCCAATCCAATTAGGAGAATTAAACAAAAACAAGATTGTCATTTGCACCTGATAGGGTAATTTATTTGCAAAATTAACAGATTCTAATTTATTAGAAAATCAACCCCATTGTCTGGATCTTCTGGTGTCACAGCAGCCAGAACAAAGCCTGATGTCCCAAGATAACTTCAGACTCATGCATTGCCTAATTCTACTATAAAACCCAGTTCTGCAGGCGTTCATCAATTGCTAGAGACATGAAGTAGGAAAGCAGCTGAGATCAGCATTTTCCAAAAGCCATCCTCTCTGACTTGTAGTTCCACTAGAGGAATCTATTCCATTTAAAGCTTGGAGCGTCACAGCAATTCGACACCAACTGTTTTTTTTTAGTACATTGTATTTTTTTCAACAGTTTTTAGTTTAAGTACACGATAATCACCGGAGCAGAAAGCTACCAATTACAGCAGCAACTGGTTCATAGAACAGTGTTATGGTGTGGCCCAGTATGAAATAACATGGATCGTACCTTCAAATATTTGTATTAAGAATTCTTAAACTAGTAAATTGTGGAAATAAAACCGATCACATGTCAGGACAGGTCTGCATATGTATTCAACTGAAACAAATAAGAAATTACAGCTCAAAATGTACATACAGCTATCTGGACTGATTTGTGTGCTCAGCTGTGTGCAATGTAATACTAGATTTTAATTAAAACTGAAGTTAAATATTTTGTTATTATCTACACATACACATAGTAAATACCAGCTTAAAAAAAGTAAAATAAAATAAATTATCTATCTATCTATCTATCTATCTATCTATCTATATACAACCCACCCCCATTTTCAGATGCTACT